AAGTGGGAGGGGCAGGGGCGGGGCTAGGGCGGGGCTCCTCCCGTCCTCTTTTTTGCTTGCTGAAATATGGTAACCCTAGTCATTTCTCTCCCCCCACCTTCCCAGATCCAGTCCGTGTACCCCCTGCATTCGATTCAGGCAGCTTCCTCCTTCACGCTGCCTAGGCCCAGCAGTAAGGGCATCACAGGACAGGCAGGCTCTGTCTCAGTAAAGTAGGACAAGGAGCCCAGGGAGGAGTGGGGGGTGAAGATGGGAGACAGGCGGACACGGGGGACAACTAGAACTGGGAGTAGTCAGTGAATCTGGGACTGTCTGGGCAAGGAGACTGGAACTGGGAGGCAGAGAAAGAAGTGGGGGGAGGGAGGGGCTGGGAGCTGGTGGGTAGGTGGAGAGACTGAGATCGGCTGAGGAGCTGGGATGAGACTGAGACTGACTGGGCAATGGGACTGGAACTGGGAACCAGTGAGCAGGAAGGCGATGGAGAGAGGGGAGACAGTTCTGAAGAAGAGCCAGGATGAGGGTGAAGAACTGGAACTGGCTGGGCAAAGAGCCTGGGACAAGAAGATGGGGAGTGGGAGACAGACTGGATGAGGAGCCTGGGACAGGAGACTGAGACTGGGAGCTAGTGGGGATGAGGAGCACAGGTGGGGGGGTGATTGGAACTGGGGCAGGGGGAGAGAGACTGATCAGACAAGGAGCCAAGAATGAGGAACAGGGACTGGATGTGAAAGCAGTCTGGAGACAAGGAGCTGGAGATGGATGGTGAGGAAACTGCGAATGGCTAGCCAAGGAGACTGGGTCTGGGAGCAGTGGGAAGATTGGGACTGGGTCCAGAGTGGGAAACTGGGCCTGGTTGGGCAATGAGGGGTGAGAGGTCTACGGAGAAGAGACTGGGACTTACTCCATTAGGAGAATGGGACAGAGATGAGGAGCCAGAGGTAGGGAAGAGACAGGACTGGGACAGGGATAGATTGGAGGAGAAGTGATAGATGAATCTGCCCTGTAAAGCACAGAGACTGGAATGGCACATAAGATTTCTGAGTCTCACCATTCCTCTGCTGTCAGCAAATATCTGTGAAGTCCACTAGCAAAGTGTCTTCTCCTCCTCTAAGCTGGTCCACATAGAGTATAACCACTTATTACGGCTATTAGTTACTCTGTTAACTCAGGTGGCAAAGGTCTGAGCAGTGGACATAAAAGTTCTAACCCTGCTGATGACCCATGTGGGTTTCAGTACGATGCCACATGATAGAATTTCTGTTTTTCCAGTTTAGGTTTTTTTTAAAACCTAGAAAACCCCACACAAAAAGCTATATTTAAAGAATAGTACTAAGGAACAACCCCAGAGTGGGTCTATCCACAGGGATCTTGTGGAAAAAACAGTATGTGATCCTGTAACTGAAGACTGTACCATGCATACGCACAAGGGGGCTGAATTAAAATCACACAGGTAACATTAATTCTGACATTTCCTAACTTTTGAGTGCTTGACTTTCCAACCTTAATAATGTTCTTTTAATTTAGTTTTTGTGTGTGCAATAGCATTTTATTGCATACAAAATATCAGTATTCAGATTAAGAAAAAACTTCAAACTCTCAAATAAGTAAAAAAAAATCAAACATTCACCTTTGTCCTGGGTCTCAGGAACTGGCGATGTGTCTTCAACACTCTCCCTGAAAAACAACAGAAGAAAGTAATTTTTACTATAAATAATAGTGATCAAGAGTAATAAGGTCTAGCACTTTTATAGCATTTTTAATCTTCAAATCTTATTTGGGTTGGTCAGCACTCGCAGGGTCTGTCTGCACTTTGTACCTGGTACAGAGCTCAGTGCATCTCCATCGGTGCATAACAATTAAGCAATAGGCATTCGCAGCACTTTGTCTACAGGGAGGGCACTGCCTGGATATGCTTGCAGAAATTTGCTTCATAAAATTAGTGTTACAAGCAACTGAACGTGTCAGAGGGTCACTCCCAGAGCTTCCTTTTCATTCCTGCTTTGGGACACATCTAGGGTGCTCTACTGCTCGGAAGCACTATACAGGGGAGAGAACACTGGGAGCTTCTTCCACCGGTCCAGCAGCAGGACAGGGTTTCAAACACCAGGCTGGGTTGCCCAGCATGGTGCAGTCACTTTGTGCAACACCACTAGAGAATTCTGAATGTACAGCTGATGTATCTAGCCCCAGGAGGAACACCCCCGCACCAGAGGGCATAGGGCTGCTATATGGCCTCCTATGCCAGCTCCCATTCTCCTTGCTGATAGCAAAAGAGGCATGGCCAGAGGAAAGGCAAAAGTGCCCAGATTGCCCCTATGCACTGATCTCTAGCTGAGGTTTTGGCTGCTTATGGGTGCTGGAATCTGGTATAAGTTAGAGCAGTACTAGAGACTGGTCCTGCAGTCAGCAGCCCCTAGACTGGCAGAGTGCGAAGGTAAATTTTATGTCCCCCTACCAATGCTGTGTGTGGTTCAGCCAGACCCCAACACCTGGCCTATAACGTTAAATAGAGTTCTATACTGAAACCAGCTAGTGCCACTGATAACTTACCATGACTGCAAAGGGGCATTATCTGACACTGCTGTAGTCTAGCCCCTTGCATCCTGTGTAGCTCCTGAGAAGCGCTGACCCCCTCCCTTCCCCATAAAGTCAGCAGCAGTTGAGGAAGTTCAGCAGCTCACAAGAGCAGCCCATGCCACAGTCTGCAGCATCTGCTGGAGGTGGGTGCAAGGTGCACCCACACCGTGCATTCCAGCTATGGCCACCCTGAGCCATTCTGCCCTGGGAAGTGGGGCTAGGATGCCTGGGGAGCATAGCAAAAGAAACAGTTCTCAAAAATAACCACCCACAAACTTTGTCAGTGAGTATTTCCAACTGTGAGCTGTGGCTGTGGATGTTTGTGTGGAGATGGGAAGACAGAAATGAAGGATATTTCATGGTGACAGAATAAATTAACTTTGCCAAGGAACTTAGGAGTCATTGCCATGGAGTTTGGTCCTATTGTCCGGCAGAGTAGCCAGGGCTACTGGTCAGGGTTTCGGGGCTGGTCAGGGGTGAGGAGAGAATTGGATGGAGCCCTGTGTTACTTCAGAAAGAGCCCCATAAAAATCTAGAGACAGCCCTGCCCAGGGACCTCTGGAAACTCCCACCCTCAAGCATAGATACCTCCCTTATTTTTAGCATCAAAGTAGTTACCTTAAACATGGAATGCCCTTGCTTAGAGCAGACAGCAGATCTATGTCCAATTTAGGGCCTGCCAAGTTAGTTAATATTGTTTCTTCCATAATCTGAAAAACAAACAAACAATTACATTTATTTCTCACAACATTCCAATTCCTGGCTCACTCATCTCACCTGCTTCTATTCCTTGCCTCTCTAGGGCCTCTTTTTGTTCCCTTCATGATAAGATCACCTGAATAGTACTGCCTCACAGAGGAAGGCAATAAAGGGGAGGTGGACCCATGGGGAGTTCTAATGAAAAGCTAGAAAATAATTTATGCAACACCTGGATTAAAAAATAATCCAAAGGACAAATAATGAAGTTAGGGATAAATGATATAAGAGAGGGGAGTGAGATTCCATGTGGGACAAGAAGTCAGGCAAAAGTCCATACCATTTTAACAAGCCCTGTATGTTTCCATTTTGTAATATGATGTACAGTTCATATGTTCAGCTATATTTGTTGATCAGTATCAACTTCAAATTCAATTCTCTGTTTTCTCCCTCTTCTGATCATGAAGGAGGATTTTAAACAAGACTGGACATAGCTCTGATCTCTGCAACACCTGCCTCTTATTTTTGCTCAGCCCTATAGAAAATGGCCAGACTGTGTGGGTGAGCTGCACTTTGCATCCTTGGAGGTCTGATCCTGGACTCAGTGGGAGGTTTATCATTGATTTTAATGGGAGCAGGACTTGGCCCAGTGTAATCAGGTGAAATAGTAAAGGTTTCACGTACTCCACTTACCTTGTACTGATCCTCTTTCTCAGGGGCCTGGGCAGCAATTAAATTATTCTGCATATCAGCCAAAGGGGCACTCTCATAAGCAGGCATGATTTCCTCTTCCCCTGCTGCATATACCTGGCTCTCAAAAACCGAAGCGGAATCTACTTTTACAATTTGTTCAAAATCCTCGTCCTCGTCATGTTGAATATCATATGAGACGAGTCGTAAAATAAGTTCCTCCTTGCTCTTGACATCTTTTAGAAGTTCCACCCTGGTGACATCAGGTTTCTTCAGGTTCTGAAATGAATTTCTGCAAACGACCTGTTGTTGAAGAGAGAACTTTTGAAGAGAACAGTATTTCAGAGTAGTTTTTCGTACAATTTGTCTACTGTGCGCTAATTATAAAACAAGATGGTACGGGGAGACTGTTTTAGCCTTGCATATGGATACATTGTTTTTACTCCATTTGAGTACACAGGAAAAACCAGGACTTTGTATTTGAAACATGTTTTTTAAATAAAAGGCTGTTCACTCTGTTGGATGAGGTGATAACGACAGGAAAGGCTATCATAAAAGAGAGGAAACATAGCAGACCCCCGGAAGGATGAAATCTTGCCCTCACTGATATCAATGGGAGTTTTGCCATTGCCTTCAATGGGGACAGGATTTCACTCATAGTATCTACTAATTTACCACAAGTAAAGAGGTTGGAGGCCAGAGAGAGGCTCAGTGCCAGATATTGCCACCCTTACTCAGGCGGGGTAGCATCTTACTCCATGGGTAGTTCAATTTAAGTTAATAAGACAACTGGAGAAGCATGGTACCACTCAGCCTGAGTAAGACTATCAGAATCTGGCCCTGAGTGATTTGTTCCGGGTCACACAAGAGTCAGGAGCAGTTTTGGGAATATTAATCTAGGAGTCTTGACTCTAAATTCCCTTCACTAACCACTAGACACACTACCTGTCTTTTACTATCAGGACTAGACTTGCTACCAAGATGCCAAAGACACTTTTGAACACACTCGTGATAAGAAATCAACATTATATTCTTAGTATTTTTATATTCATTTATATTCAACATTATATTCTTATATTTGCCCACTCTATTGTATTTAAACTTTCTGAATGAAAAGAGATGAGAATAAAATATGAAGGCAACATAAACTATCAAATACAATATCCAAAACAGACTACTTGGCCTTGATTCAGCAAAGCACTTAAACATATGCTTAATTTTAAGCATATACTTAAATCCCATTGACTGCAATAGGACAGGAGCAAATGCTTAATGTTATGCATATACTTAAGTGTTTTCCTGAATTGAGGCCCTAGGTGCCGATCCCGTAACCTGCTTAAGCATGTGAGGAATCTAATTGACTTCAGTGGGACTCATGCTTAGAGTTTAAGCATGTGCTTAAATGCTTTCCTGGATCAGGATCATAGTGACAGTATGATAAACAATTTTTTACCAATCTGCATATGAAAATTACCCATTCTTTTTACTTACATCCTTTGGTTTGACATCTAGTCGTCCTAAAGCATTCACAGAGGACCGTCTTTCTCTCCTTTTCTCTATATCACTTTCAGTAGCTGTACTTAGCATACTTGTCTTAGATATCGATTTTTTTCTTAGTTCTGGTAGCTCTAGTCCAGAATGACTCCTGTATGTTTCATTCAGTTTCTCAATAGGCTCTGTTTTTATGGAAATAACTGCTAAATGGTCTGAAATAACGTCTGGATCTATGTCTAATGGTTTGTCTCCAATATGAGCGATTATTTCAACTGGTAGCTCTTCTTCTTGTAGCAATGTTTCTGCTAGATGCCCATTTGCATCCCTCATTGACTCTCCAGAACTTCCTGCCTCAATATTTATTTGAATGGAGACTGATGAAAGATCTTTGTCAGCAGTACTGTCAACCTCTATAGTACTGCAGTTATCAGTTGGTGACTGTTCATTAAAAGAATGTATTAGCTGGCCACTGGAGATTTCATTTATTATTATACTGGCTGTTCGTTCAGGAAAAATTGTTCTGCAACTTGTGACATCATGATAAAGGGCTGGCTGAGATCCAGTTTCTTGCAAGACACTATTGTAAATGCTTTGAACCACTTGATTAACAGTATCTTCATACTCTGGATTTAAATGTTGGTCTTCATCTGTAGCTCCTACAAGACTGATTTTATTTTTGGACATGCTTTTTTTTACTGATTGTTTAAGTGTGTCCGTAATCTCATTCACTTCAGTTTTTGATAAACATCTTTTGTGTTCCAGGCTTGTGCTACAAACGGAGTTTAAGATTGTAGACACCAATTTACTTATTATTTCTTCTACTACTATTGCAGGTAATGCACAATCCTGTGATTGTGATAGCTGATACTTGGTTTCATGTGTTGACATGAACTGGCAGTGCTCTTCATACACCTGCCTATGCCTTGCTTCATCTCTGGGAGATTTCATTATGCCCAGTGGAGAGAAGGGTTTCCTTGGAAACTGCTTACCAATAGGAGGTAGAGTCATCCTGGAGCTAATTGCTCTTTGTTTAGTTATTGTTCCCAGCGATGGTCTAGAAGGTCTTGCTGTGGGAGCTGACATGTAGTACATAGACTTTTTGGTCACCTCTGATGGGGTGTGAGCATCCCGCTCTGAGAATTTGTGGATTGTTGGACAGAGACGAGATGGAATTTCCTCTTCCATTTCTGTTTCTTCCTCAGAATAAATCACCATTCCAGGAACATTGATAGGTGGAAAGTTTTCCCTTGGGTCAAGTTCTTTTAATTTTCTAGTAGGCAGTTTTATTCCTTCTGACATTGCAACACCTTGACCATGAATTTTATTATTTCCAAATGTTCGTCCAGACTTTTCCATTTCAAGATTCCCAGATTTCAATTCCAAAGTAATTTCAGTTTGAGGGTGAGCACATCGATCTAATACAGCACCAATTATCTCGCCTGCCATAATGTTTTCTTCGGAGTCATCATACAATGGGATTGTTTGCCTTTGGCTAATTTCTTTTTCTAGCTTCCGCTTGAAGATTTCAAGAACATCATTAACAGCAATTGTAGCGTAAATGTTCAATTCTGAATGGAGACCTTGCACTTGGACAATAGCACTTTCTATGCTTTCCTTTGTAATCATACTGCTTACCCTTGATACATCCGATGAACTCTGGAATTGTTCTAAGGTTGGCAGCGTTCTTTTAATTGTAGTTCCTGGCATTTCATCTTCAAATGCTTTAGATGATACTTCTATTTCATTTGCTATCTGGGTTGAGAGAGGCCTTAAGAATGGTGTCTGTTGTGCACTAGAAATATTTTCAACAGGGAGTTTCACTATTTCAGAAAATTTACATTTAAAGTCATGTTTAAACTGAAAGGCTACAAATGACTCTAGTGTGAATACAACACTTTCCACAGCCTCTTTGGCTATTTTATCAATAGTAAACGAGGAAAATGTTGGGTCATAAGCAGGCAATTCAGCTTGCATGATCTTATTTTTTTCTGATTTGGAAACTCTGCTAGTTCTTCTGGCAGGGACCTGGTCTTTCCTTCTTATTACAGGTTCTTGGTCTGATGCCATAGTGATGCTAGACACCAAACACTTGTGAAAGTTATCCAAAACAGTTGCTACAATCTCTTTAGCAACTAATCCAATTTCTTTCTGGAACTCTTTATGAAAAGTCTCAGGAAATTCAGTTCTTTTAAAACTACTACAGAACAATCTTTCACTAAGCTCAATGGGAGCTTTCTTTAAAATGCTGACAGAATCACTTAGATCTTTTACTCTCCTAAAAACTTTCTTGACCACATTCTCGGCCACCTGTAGCATTTTCAAGTTGTCATTGTTATTTGCGTCTGTTACTGTTTGCTTGTCAAACACTTTTTTAAAAATACCTCCTTTAGGAAGATCTTGATTTAAGTCTGAAAAAATATCCTCACCAATCAGATCTTTTTTTGGCTTGGTATCTTTTGTTGCCGATTCACGTTTAAAATAAGTTTGGCTAAAAGGAAACTTCTCTGTGTTGAAAGTCTTTGTGGGAAACTCAGACATAGCTCCCATGCCCACAACTTCCCGGCGCAATCTCGAAATACATTCAGTATGATACTGAGGTGGTGTTGCTGTTTTCCCCTTGTGAACACTTTCTTTCCAAAATTCACTTTCCAGAGACCTCTGTGTGCTCTTTGACAGAGACGTGAAAGATGATTTCTGAGATTGCAATGGAGTTGGTTTCCCTCCTGTCACTATCTTGAGATCACTTGGTGAGCTGGTGGCTTTTATGCTTGTATCTGTAAAGATGACCTTTCTGGTACTGGAGGATGGAAGACTTGCAAACACATCAAAGAGCTCTTCATTACATGTGCTACAGCTACTAGAGTTGTCTGAAGAGAGTGCTGACTCTTCAGATATTGTATATACTGTATCTTTAATTCTCTCTTCATACTCCGTTACTGCTGGGTATAAGATACTTGTTACTTCAGCCACGACCCGTGTCAGGATATTCTCTATTGTATTGTTCAGTTCTTCAGTTATGGTGTTCTGTAACAGAAGCAAACAATAATGGGCAAGTTCATGCGCTTATTCATTCCATTTTTTTTGTTCATAAGGTATAAATTACTTATTGTATGCTTTTTATGAACTTTCATGTAAGCAAAGTATTGCCAGGGCAGAAAGAGAATTTTGGTCCTGTGGCAAAGATTCATTTAATTGCAAAAAGAAATATGGTTCAGGAGGAAGTTGTGTTGAAAGGACAGGTCATCCAATCAGAAAACAGAAACAATACCATGTGGAACAGGTGTTGGTATTCTCTATTATATACTGGTGAGAAGTCACAAAGCTTGACAAATATTTGATACTGAAAGGAATCCTGGGGAGAGTGCAAAATTTAGAAAGACTGAGCCATTTATTGGCAGAAATTTATATGCACAAAATAATTTCAAATAGTGAATATATCCTAAAAATCAGTTTGTTCACAGAGAAAAAAGTTACATTCACCGAGTAGATATCGGAAAGTAACTGAAATACTTCTCTGATGGATTATATCTACTAAGGGACAACCCATCCGAAATGCTCAATTACTGAGGGAAAATCTACATTCATTCCTATATTTGCTTTCTACAACCAACTCTCTGTATAACTTTTCATGAGTGATGTACCAGAGTATTCTGATTCTAATATCTAAACTGTATTGTTACATTTATTCATCTAAATTTGGGTTACTGTAGATTATGTACTATAGGTATCTTATAAATTTTTTAACAAACTTTTTATTTGTGGATAATCTAAGTACTATTCCCAGATGTACAGACACTCTTTTCTCAACCTGTGTATTATATAATTTAAATATTAGCTTTAATACAAATTTTAAATCTGTTCATTGTGAATTGCTAGCCCAGTTCTACTCAGCAATTATTTCCCCCGCCATTCAAGTTCCCTTTCAAGTCATTTAGGACTCTTCAGCAGTCTTGAGAATGCGTTTTGTTTCACCCTATTTTTGTCTCTTCTCAGTTTGTGAAAGAATGGTTGTTTGTTAGTTCTGAGACCAAAAAGAAAGAAAGACCTTTATTGGCTCCACCAGCTGATGTCTCAAACCCTGAACCATACTTTGCAACTACGAGAAACAGTCCAAAGAAAGAAATGACCCACCTCTATTCTGGAATGCAGTGCAGTCATCTGGTGACTCCTCCGTAACAATACATTTCATATATGAAACACAACTACACACATCCAACAAACTGTTACTTTTAGTTTTATATTTGAGATGTGTACGTTCAATGACTTCATACCTGGAAAAGTGCTCTGTTTGTGACATTATTAGCCATTTCATCAAAGCTCTGCTGAGAGACCAGTGAAGAGAGGAATGTTTGTGGAAAAGACTTTCCATTAAGCAAAGGTCGATTAGAAGGAATAGCACCTGGGGGGAAAAATAAATAAAAAACAGTTACTCACCTCCTCGTAACTGTTGTTCTTCGAGATGTGTTGTTCACGTCCATTCCAATCAGGTGTGCGCGCGCCGCATGCACGATCGTCGGAACGTTTTCCCTTAGCAGCACCTGTCGGGTCGGCCGTGGAACCCCCTGGAGTGGCACCTTTATGGTGCTCAATATATGACCCTGCCGACCTGACCCCCCTTCAGTTCCTTCTTGCCGGCTACTCCGACAGAGGGGAAGGAGGGTGGGTATTGGAATGGACGTGAACAACACATCTCGAAGAACAACAGTTACGAGAAGGTGAGTAAAAGACGGTTACTCACCGTTGTAACTGTTGTTCTTCGAGATGTGTTGCTCATATCCATTCCAGTTAGGTGTGCGCGCACCGCGTGCACGATCGTCGGAAGATTTTTACCCTAGCAACCCCCGGTGGGTCGGCTGTGGAGCCCCCTGGAGTGGCGCCTTCATGGCGCTGGATATATACCCCAGCCGACCCAGCGCCCCCTCAGTTCCTTCTTGCCGGCTACTCCGACAGTGGGGAAGGGGGGCGGGTTTGGAATGGATATGAGCAACACATCTCGAAGAACAACAGTTACAACGGTGAGTAACCGTCTTTTCTTCTTCGAGTGCTTGCTCATATCCATTCCAGTTAGGTGACTCCCAAGCCCCACCTAGGTGGCGGGGTCGGAGTGAGACATTGCTGTGTGCAAAACCGCTGACCCGAAAGCAGCATCGTCTCTGGATTGTTGCACCAGCGCATAATGAGCAGCGAATGTGTGTACCGAAGACCAAACTGCAGCCCTACAAATGTCCTGGATCGGGACTTGAGCCAGGAAGGCAGTCGAAGAGGCCTGTGATCTCGTGGAGTGAGCAGTGAGGCGTGGAGTCGGGACACCGGCCAGGTCGTAGCAAGCACGAATACAGGACGTGATCCAAGAGGACAGGCACTGTGAAGAGACCGGTGAGCCTTTCATCCGGTCTGCCACCGCAACGAAGAGTTGCGTCGTCTTCCTAAATGGCTTTGTACGGTCGATATAGAAAGCCAGGGCCCTGCGTACGTCCAAAGAATGCAAACGCTGGTCTTGACGAGTAGCGTGTGGCTTTGGATGGAAGACCGGGAGAAATATATCCTGGTTGACGTGGAAAGGTGAAACCACCTTCGGAAGAAAGGCAGGGTGGGGGCGAAGCTGCACCTTTTCCTTGTGGAACACCGTGTATGGGGGCTCGGACGTCAGCGCTCTGAGTTCAGAAACACGCCGTGCTGATGTG